TGAAGAAGGAAAAAAAATCGATTTTTGCAGCTGAAGGATATACAGAAGAAAGGGCTTACTGGGGTTTCTTGTGTGAGTGATTAGGGAGGAGAATGGGGGTGATGTATTTCGAAGATAAACTAAGAAAATTTTGGGGAATAATCGGCCTTATATGATGATTCTTTTCATATGAAGGGAAATGGGTCTGATGTATTTTGAAGGCAAACTGAGAAAATTATCAAAAATAGTCACCTTGATGCGACGATTCTTCTGATTTCTTTTGATGATTGTCTTGATGCTTTTGTTGATTCACAGGTATGGGCATCTCCTGCGGTGGAAGAAGCAAGTGGATTGCTAGGGTTCCGATAAAATAGGTAAAATGTGAGTCGTGAAGAAATAAAAGTGATATTGGAGCCAAAACGACGTCGTCCCGAAGATGATACATATTGTTGACACGAGTCCTTTAAAAGAGCTTATATAGTTAGGATTAGGATTAGGATTATATGTCAAACAAAGTATCACATTCACGGTCACCTCTTCGACTTCTCCAAACCCCTGGCGAAGCAAAACCCATTTCTTTCAACTTATCAAAAGCTCTTTTTTCGCTTAAAAAACCAGCCCTATATTTTGCGTCAAGTGCAGCAAGAAATGGGTTCTGAAGGATCATCACGAGTTGTTGGTATTTTTCTGAATTGTTCACTTCCCTTGTATTATAATGCTATTTTTCTTAGTTTTAAAGCTGTAGATAATTTTTAATCTCCTAATTATCCCCTCTCTTTCAGTATCCTGAAATTGGGGGTTTTCTTTGACTGGATTTTTTCAGCGTGGTATTTGGGAATTGGGTCAATGTTGAAATCTTTAGTTGTAGAAATGCTGGCCTAGTAATTCGATTTTGAATTGTATGTTTTCATTTTTATTTAATATTTGTTTTATGTGAAAAATTTCTTTTATTGTATTTCTTATTATAGACCCGTTGTATTTTCTTTTGGTGGAGAGATTAGGAAACATGGTAAACACACTCAGTTGCTTATTGCTAAAACTAGATCCTGAAAGAGACTTTGAAACATACTGGGTTACTCATCGAAACTGAGGCATAACTTAGGGAGGTGACAGACTAGAATTCAGCCTCTGATGCTCATAATTTTGAGGAATTCCTGTAAAAGAATAAGACATGAAAAATTGTTAGAGAATCTCCCTCCAGTCCTTGGGTTTGTTTACTTAGTACATACAGAGATAGCAGCAGTGTAGGTGAAATCTTGTATTAACAGGAAAATAGTTATGTCCCAAGCTAAGAGGGAACAAAATAACTGATCTTAAAAATATCCTCTCTCTCTCCCCTTTCTTGAAATCGACCATAGTATTTCAAAGTAACTGCATGTTCTTAGAAATTTTCGCATTTCTTTCTACATGAAGCCCCAATATAAAAATGATATTCAGCCCCCACATGGTAAACTGGATGGAATGGGCAGATAAAAAAAAATATTTAGCTTCAATGTTTGAATCCTCTAATTTACAAGTTTCCCCCACGAGCTTATGCCTGGACTTTCTAAGCGAGACATTCAATTTTTAGACAGAGGAAGATGTATAATGTGCCCTTCTGTATAAAGACAGTTATGTGGCTATATATAAGGGAGGGATGATTCAATTTGTAATCTAGAAGTTGAAAGGAACTCTAGAAAAAATGCTAGTCAAGAGTATTTATCTTTGATAGTTTATTTTTATTTATTTATTTTTATAAAGAGAGGATGGTTTTAATGCTTGTTACACGGATCCAACATAATTATCTTGTTAACGTTAAAAAACTCAGTCTCATCTGCATAACATCAAAAGTTCAAAATGATATTTGTAATGGTCTTCCACATTTAAGAATGGTTAACTTAATGTTTGTGATTTAAGGTAATTGCTAAGGCTACTTCTATGACACAAAATCAAATTGAAATGCATGAGCCATGGAGTTGAAAATTTTCTGGAACTTCACTACTCATAAAAGGGAAAGAAAAACTCCATTAAACTTTAATATGACCCATAGAAATCATACAACGTAATTCACCTGTCTGGCTGTTCCTAGGAATATAATGTTCGTAAAAATTTCACGTGTGTTGGTTTTGGGACCTTTAAATTCTTGCACTTCTCTTTTCAATTGAAATGGGACTTTGAATGAGAAGAATTTATTGCTGTGAATCATGCTTTTTTAAGAATTTGTACTTAATGTGCCTGTGACCTAGAATTAGAAGGGGAAAAAAAAACACCCAATGATCTGATCAGTTGCTAAGAATTGAAAAAAGCTAGTTCTTTTAAATAGTTATATTAAAATGTCAAGGTTCTTGTTCCAACAGTTGATTGCCTTGAAATAGGAAGTGCATATGAATTGAACTTGATAAGCCTCCCATATTAAAGTTGCTTTATTTACTCAAGTTCCTAAAGCTTTTCACAAATTATAAGCAAAATTCAGAACATCAACTTCCTTGAAGGTTTTTCATTTATTTTTAAGTGAAAAAATAAGAGTACATCTAGTCATTTAATAATTTCTTAGACACACCTACAAATCCCACGTAAAGTGGGAGAAAAAAATTAAATATTATTTACATTTTTGGTGCCACTTGAATCTTTTAATGCTTTGTAGTCGTGGGAACTCTCTGCCTTTGCTGCTTCAGTTTAGCCACATTCATGTTATTAAAATAGAATCATAGTGATATTTGTGGATTGTTTGATTGATAGCTATCTTGCTTGGACCCCTGACTGAAAATTTTGAAAACTTCAGAAGCTAGGAAATTATTTATTCTGTTAATGTTCTAGATCACCATGTCACTGAATAGGAGTTATTTTTGCAGAAGTTAAGGTCAGATTTTGTATTCAATTAGCACCTAGTGAAATGCTGATAATGATTCATCTTTTGAATTCTTTGTACTAGTTCTTGTTTTGAAGTCCTAAATTCGATAAAACCCATGGGTATGATTCCAAGTGTAATATTTGCTTATCCATTTCATCAGCTGCAGTAACCTTGACCACTACTCATATCGTAGTAATATCATTAGTGAACCACAACTGACCCAGAGATTAAGCTATGAATTTTTGGCCTGGTTACTTTTGATGCGGACATGTTTGGATCATCGGGATTTATTTTATTGTCATCAGGAGTACTTTTATTGTTATTGGACCTTATTTATTTATGTCTTCTAATTTTAATTTTATTGGGCTTGTATTAGTGGGATAGTCCAAACACGTCAATTACATAGATTTTCGCTATTTAAACAGTTTTACATTACAGTTTAGACAGATGAT